AACAACAACAACAATAAACAAAGACTCCAACAGATACTTGCATACCCATGTTCATAACAGCATTATTTACAATAGTCCAAAGGTGGAGATAACCCAAGTGTCCATCAATGGATGAATGGATATACAAAATGTGGTCTATCCATGCAGTGGAATACAACTCAGCCCCGAAAAGGAATGATGTTCTGATACAGGCTACAACATAGATGGATCTTGAGGACAATAAGTTAAGTGAAATAAGACAGGAACAAAAGGACAAATACTGTATGATCCCACTTATATGAGATACCTAGCGCAGTCAAATTTACAGAGGAAAAAAGTAGAATGGTGGTCACCAGGGATGGGCAGGGCAAATGGGGAGTTGGCACTGAATGGGTACAGAGTTTCTGTGTGGGAACATGAGAAGGTTCTGGAGATAGATGGTGGTGATGGTTGCACAATATTGTGAATGCACCTAATACTGCTGAATTGAATTGTACATTTAAAAATGGTTAAAATGATAAATTGTATGTTATATATTAATGTTCAAGGTTGTCCAAGCAAGAAAAACAACAACAACAACAAAAACCACCCATATGTGCTCATGCATCTCTGGCACAGATGCAGTTCCTAGGTTCAGCTCTCTCCTCAGGCGGCCATGGCATTCTCTCTTCAATGACAACATTCTGTTTCCACCAACTCTGCTTCTGAACCGAATCTGACACAGCTGTCACTGGCCTACTCCCTGGAATTACCACAGGATCTGAATTAGCCTCTGGTAGGCCCTCTGAGGAATCTTGCATCCATGCTTCCATTACAGTCAGCACAGCAATACGGTGACCTATCCTGTTTTTTTTTTTTTTTGAGATGAGGTCTTGCTCTGTTGCCCAGGCTGAAGTGCAGTGGCACAATCTTGGCTCACTTCAACCTCCACCTCCTGGGTTTAAGTGATTCTTCTGCCTCAGCCTCCTGAGTAGCTGGGATTATAGGTATGTGCCACCACACCTGGCTAATTTTTGTATTTTTTAGTAGAGATGGGGTTTCACCATGTTGGCTAGGCTAGTCTCGAATTTCTGACCTCAGGTGATTCGCCTGCCTCGACCTTCCAAAGTGCTGGGATTACAGGCGTGAGCCACCGTGTCTGGGCTGCCTATCCCTTTGATTGAATACCACCTGAGTAACTGATACGGTTTGGATCGTGTCCCTGCCCAAATCTTAAGTCGAATGAATTGTAATCCCCAGTGTTGAAGGTAGGGCGTGGTGGGAAGTGATTGGAGACGGGGGTGGTTCCTCATGAAGGGTTGAAAACCATCCCCCTTGGTACTGTTGTCATAATAGTGAGTGAGTTCTCAAGAGATCTGGTTGTTTAAAAGTGTGTAGCACTTTGGGAGGCCGAGGCGGGCGGATCACGAGGACAGGAGATCAAGACCATCCTGGCTAACACGGTGAAACCCCGTCTCTACCAAAAATACAAAAAATTGGCCGGGCGTGGTGGCGGGTGCCTGTAGGCCCAGCTACTGGGGAGGCTGAGGCAGGAGAATGGCATGAACCCGGGAGGCGGAGGTTGCAGTGAGCTGAGATCGTGCCACTGCACTCCAGCCTGGGCGACAGAGCGAGACTCTGTCTCAGAAAAAAAAAAGAAAGAAAGAAAGAAAAAAGAGTGTGTAGCGCCCCCCGCTTCTCTCTCTCTCTCCTGCTATGTAAGACGTGCCTGCTCACCCTTCATCTTCTGCCATGATTGTAAGTTTCCTGAGGCCTCCCCACCCTCCGCCCCAAGAAGCCAAGCAGATGCCGGCATCGTGCCTGCGGGACCACCTGTGGAACCACGGGCCAGTCACACTTCTCCATAAATCACCCAGTCTCAGGTATGTCTTCACGGCAATGTGAGAATGAACTCATCCAGTAACTCATTTGTCTTTAACTTTCCTCCGTCTTTCAGTGACAGCGTGTGTGCCTAAGTGACTCTTGACGAAGTGTTCATTCGTGAGGACACCCGGGCCCCACAGGGGCTCCTGTGGTGGTGTTTGCGGCAGGTGAAGATGCTATTGCAGAATTTATCTTCCTTGCCAGAAGAGAACGCCCGGGCAAAACAGAATTGCCTTATAGCCCAAACTGGGACCCACGGTCTTTTCAGGCCTCTGGCCGTGGGGCTTGGACAGTTGGATTCTAACTTCTCTCTCCCTAGTGCCTCCCACGTTTACTCTCCATGTTCTGTTGCTTTTCTTGGTGTGTTTGCCTCCCTGATCCCATCTTTGCTGTCTGCTCCACACTGTACCCGATTTCTGCCCCTCCTTGCCTCTCCTGATTACTCAGAGCTTCAACTACCTCCTCGCCTCTGACAATTCCATCTATTGCTGACAGGTTGGTGCACCTCAAACACCTGTCACCTCATGGCTCTGGCTTCTGCACCTGTGTGCATGGCACCCTCCTCCCATAGCTCTCTTCCCAGCACAACCTGCAGCTCTTCCAGCTGCCCAGCTGCTCCACGCGAGCCGTGATTAGCTCACACTGGCCTTTCCTCCTCCACTATCAGCTCAGAGCCAGCCACAGCTCACAACTCCGAGAAGTCTTCCCTGAGCCACACGGAGGAGACTGTCGCCTTCACATGTCTCTCCCAGGACCCTGCAAGTATAGATTAGGTGCCCAGCAACGGCTTTCACCGCAGTCCTCATCCTTTTCCTGTCTGCACTGCTGGAGCACGGGATGCCTGCAACATTCATTTGAAACCTCTTTCTACACTATTGGGACCCGCTCTGTCTTAGAATTGTTTCTGGGTGCTAACCTTGCTCCCTCCTCTAGCCTGGAGACCAAGGACTGACATCTAATTTGCAGTTGGTATCGGTATGTATGAGATGTAGACGCTCTAGTAACATAGGTCCAGTGATACCGACTTACATCACGCTGGACTCCTTCCTTGCTTCATATACCCTCATGTCACTTTCTGTGCATATTTTCTGCCTCCTTAGAGAGGTTGTACCCCCAGAGCTCCAGGGGAAAAAATAACTGTCCACACAGAGGCTCGTGTGTCTGTGGCCTTGGGGAACACAAATCAGGGGTCTCAGTTGGGCATCTGGGATTCAAAAAACACAGAATCCATGGCAACGGGCGACTCCTGAGGGCGGGGTCAGGGAGGCTGTGCCGATAGAAGGCTTCAGGAGTCGCCCATTGCCATGAATTCTGTGTTTTTTGAATCCCAGATGCCCAAGTGAGACGCCTGATTTGTGTTCCCCAAGACCACAGACACAGGGAGCCTCCTGGCATCAGGCTCCTGACACCAGAGTTGGGGTTCCTTTCAACTCTATTACAGTGAATGAGCGCCATGCTCACGCACTCATTCAGAGCCACATGCTTTGCCTGGCCTCCTGCTCACCTCTGAGTGGCATCTGGAGAAGACGTGGCCTCATCTTGCTTCAATCCTCCGAGCGTGAAGAGACCTGCACTCATCAGTGAAATGAATACAACGGGAGGTGTCTGGAGCATTTCTTCACTTTCCCCAAAGGAATATTTGACAAACCCAGGCAAGGTTCAGAGCTCCACCCTCAACAATAATCCTGTCAAAATATCCGATGTCGTTGAACCTCAGAGGCACTGTATCACAGCAGAAAAGCGATTGATCTCATGGCTAAACTCTCTTTCTTGCTTATTGGCACGACAACAGAGCTAAATAGAGCCGAGATGAATTACGAGTCTATTTTTGGCGACTCCTTGTGGAATTCATGCACACTGTGTGTTTTGCATCCTTTGAATCCTTGGGCACACTTAGAACTCTGAAGCAAACACTCATTTGTAAATGTTACAGCTGCCAAGGTTGGCTGGATGCTGTGCTGGGTGACGTGTTAACTCTCACAAGGCTGCTCTGGAAGCAGGAAGAATGTTTTGAGCTGAGCTTCGGGCGGAGGGTGGGGCTGACGCACGCATGCTTACCTTGACCCTGTCCATACAGGCTTCCATCTTTAGCTGTTCCACAGCTTTCCTGGCTTGGGAGATGCTAGTGGTGCTGTTATTAGACATGCCCTCTTTTATTCTACTGCCCCTAGAAGTAACCAAATAGAAGGGTTAGAAGAGCTGCTTTTCCAAGGGTAGGGGACCCCACCTCCCACCACCTACAGCTTCTCTGTCCAAGCCGGGGGGCATCTGGGAGCACGGGCAGCATTCGGTAGAAAACCTCCTGGGACAAGAGAAAGGAATGCCTCATTCGAGTAAGAGGAGCAAGACATGATGCTTTTGTTTGGAAAAACTTTCTCAGTCCCGGGGAGAGTAAGAACAGAAGGTTCCAGAACAACTTCTCCATCACCCCCACCATTGCCACCACCATCACCATCATGACCATAAGTAATGCTTGACATTTGTGTAGTGCTTTGTGAATCATCAATCACTTTCACACACATTTGGTCATTCATTCCTCTAGCGGCCCATAGAGTTGGTAGGACAATATTAATTTCTGTTTTGCAAAGGAACAAAGTGCAAAAATCAGAGAAATTAAACCAATAGCCAAAGGTCCTACAGCCAACATTTGTGGATCCAGAACCCAGACTTAAAGCTTCAAAGCCTAGCTGAGTGTCTCAAATGGCCTCTTCTAACAATCTATGACTCAAAACACACATTTCTAATGAATAAAATTGCTTTATTAATTTTAATTTGTTGTCCTTCCAAAAAGTTTACAGACTTTGTGTTGGGAGTTTGTTTGCAACAATAAACACACACACACACGCACACACACACACACACTCTCTCTCTCTCTCTCTCTGTCACCCCTATCCCAAGCATGTATTTGTTTTCTAGAGGGAGGCGGAAGAAATTCTCCCTAACCCAACACACATGGATGCCCGTGACTAAGACCACCGTAGTGCTACCTGTTTCACAGAAAGCATGTGCTACACACATCACAGTTGCCCCGTCTAATAAGAATCTGCTTCAAAGGAAGCCTAACAACTAAAGCCTGAGAGCTGGGGGACAGGTCACTGTGAGCAGAAACACAAGTGACACTGGTTCCCAAAGGTACAGATGAGGTGGGAGGAGGCCCTGGCCATCATCTTTTGTTTCTGTTTATATTTTATTTAGGTTTTAGGTTTTTTTTCCCGCCTCACAATTGTTGGACTTTATTGTATTAATTTACTTCAGTATGTAAACCATCAATCATACTTTCAAAGTTAAAATGATGCTAATTGATATTCTCACAGGCATCACTTTCACTGCCCATTCCAATCCTTTTCTCCCCTCCCACCTACCCCTTATGGGCAACCAATCATATTGGACTCCGGTCTATTCTTTCCTATGCTTCTTTTTTCCTTCCTTCCTTCCTTCCCTTCCTTCCTTCCTTCCTTCCTTCCTTCCTTCCTTCCTTCCTTCCTTCCCTCCCTCCCTCCCTCCCTCCTTCCCTCCCTCCCTTCCTTCCTCCCCATCACATTGGTCTACTTTCCTATGCTTCTTTTTTCTTTTTTCTTCTTCCTTCCCTCCCTCCCTCCCTCTCCGTCTCTCTTTCTTCTCTCTCTCTCTCTTTCTTTCTGTCTTTCTCTCTCTCTCTTTCTTTCTTTCTTTCTTTTTTTCTTTTTTTCTTTCTTTCTTTCTGATGGGGTCTCACTCTGTCACCCAAGCTGTAATGCAGTGGCGCAATCACAGCTCACTGCAGCCTCAAACTCCTGGGCTCAAGTGATCCTCCTGCCTCAGCCTCCTGAGTAGCTGAGACTACAGGTGTGTGCCGCCATGCCTGGCTAATTAAAAACAATTTTTTTTTTTTTTTGTAGACTGGGCCTCACTATGTTTCCCAGGCTGGTCCTGTGTTTATTTTCATAGAAAGTAAGCAGTTACATGTGTATTTTATTCTTTCTCCTTTCTTACACAAAAAGATAACGTGTGTGTGTGCTTTTAAACTTTGTTTTTATATTTAACAATACATTTTAGAAAGCACCACATATTAGTTCATTGATATGCAAAAAAGATCATACTCATTCTTTCTTATAACTACATAGTACAGTACAGTACTCCATCGTGTGGATATACTGTATATTTTTCAATCCATATATTTATGGGCATTTACATATTCTCATATTGTTGTGGGTGTGTCTTCAAGGTACATTTCTGGAATTACTGGGTCAAAGGTAAATGCATATTTACTTTTGTGATATATTGCCAAATTCTTTTTTTTTTTTTTGAAACAGAGTCTCGCTCTGGAGTGCACTGGCCCAGTCTCGGCTCACTGTAAGCTCCACCTCCCTGGTTCATGCCATTCTTCTGCCTCAGCCTCCCGAGTTGCTGGGACTGCAGGCGCCCGCCACCATGCCCAGCTAATTTTTTGTAGTTTTAGTAGAGGTGGGGTTTCAGCATGTTAGCCAGGATGGTCTCGATCTCCTGACCTCATGATTCGTCCGCCTCGGCCTCCCAAAGTGCTGGGATTACAGGTGTGCTCCACCACGCCCGGCCGATATATTGCTAAATTCTGTAAGGTAACATTTTGATAATTTTTGCTTCAAGATTCTTAAGTAATTTTTGAATTAAGTACTATTCTTAAGTAATAAATTAAGTCATTTAATGCTACCTTCACCTGGTTTACATATCAATGTTATACTTGCTTCATACAAAACATTTAGAACTTTTAAGAAATTTTCTATTTGGCGAGGAGGTGAGTGTGCAGGACCCACTCTCTCTGTGGGTTTTATCACATATGAACTAATTCGCTGGCCCAGATAAGGCATAATGGCAACTACATTTGTCCAAAGGCAATTTTTGAAAGGTAAAATATTCTTGTTAGAAGACAGATCAGCCACCCAAATCAGAGTTTAATAGATGTGTGTCCTTATCTTGGTTTGGAACTTTAACTCAACAACAAGGGAAGGAGAATCACGAGAAGCTGGGAGCTCTGAAATCCAAGGAACATCCCCCTCACCCCCTACACTGCAGAACCATGCATGCGTTCCTGCACATGTGTTGGCATGTCCTTGGGTGTGTCTGTGTGTGCCTGCGTGCCTGCCAGTGCAGGCCTTGTGCCAGTCTGTGTGTGCGTGGCCATCTCTCCATGGGTACGTGTGCTGATGTGTCTGTGTTGTTATGTGTCTACACAAAATGAGGGAGGAGACACAGTCCAGTTCCCCACCCTTCCCAGCTGATGCAGTAAAGCAAAGACCCTGATATATTTGGATGTTTGCTCCAAATCTCATGAGGAAATGTGATTTCCAGTGTTGGAGGTGGGTCCTGGTGGGAGGTACTGGATCATGGGGCCAGATCCCTCAGGCTCAGCGCCACCCTTTGGTGATGAGTGAAAGTCACTCTGAGTTCGTACAAGATCTGGTTGTTTAAAAGTGTGTGTCGCCTTCCTGCTGTCTCTCTTGCTCCCACTCTTGCTACGTGATAGTCTGGCTCCCCCGTCACCTTCTGCATGAGTGGAAGCTTCCTGAGGCCTCACTGGTAACAGATGCTGGTGCCATGCTTCCTGTACAGCCTGCAGGACCATGAGCCAGTTAAACCTCTTTCCTTTATAAATTACCCAGTGTCAAGTATTCCTTTATAGCAACACAAGACAGCCTACTACAGACCCTACAGTGACTGCCTTCAAATCTTGATCCTGCTCTCCCCATTCTAGACTCCATCCCTCTCGCCCCTTGTCTTTGACTTGGGCATTTAGGAGTTGGGGAGGTTGAGGGGAAGAGGAGGTAGAGTCTGGGATCAGCAGGGGTGAAGCCAAGAGGACACGGAGCAGGGCAAAGGGAGGAGGGGAGGGCTCTGCACTGTGTGTGAGGGAGTGTGTTGGTGAGTAGGAGTGTGTGAGTGTGGGGTGGGGGTGAGTGTGTGTGAGAGTGTGTGGGGGTGAGTGTGAGTGTGGGACAGAAAGTATGTGTGAGGGTGTGGGTGAGTGTGGGTAAGTGTGACTGTGAGGGTGTGGGGTGGGGTGCGTGTGATGACAGAGTGTGTGTTAGCGTGTGTGAGGGTGTGAGTTGGGGTGAGTGTGTGTGTGAGGGTGAGGGGTGGGGGTGTGTGTGTGAGAGACAGTGTGTGTGTGAGCATGTATGAGGGAGGGGGTGGGGGTGAGTGTGTGTGTGAGGGTGGGTGAGTGTGTGTGAGGGTATAGGGTGGGGGTGAGTGTGAGTCTGTGTGAGAAAGTGTGTGGGTGAGGGGGTGGGGGTGTGTGAATGTGAGGGGT